TGATGTCATGCAGATTAGAGCTGGAATTCATTTGATTAACCATATCCTGGTTGCAAATTATTCACAAAAAATACCCACACATGTATATATATGTGTGTGTGTTTGTGTATATATATAGAGACAGAGATATGCCTTGATGGCAAAGTGAACCTGCACAAACACACATACACAAACCCATACACGCCTCCAGAAACGGATTCAATCACATCTCAAATCCTGTGTGCAGTTTTGGGCCTGTCATGACAAGAAAGACATTGCTGGAGCGTGTCCAGAGAAGAGCTGGGAATGGGCCTGAAGCACAAATCTGATGAGGAGCAGCTGATGGAGCTGTGGTGGCTGAGTCTGGAGAAAAAGAGACTCAGGAGGAACATTCTCCTTCCCTACAACCCCTGACAGGAGGACATAGTGAGGTGGGGGCCGGTCTCTTCTCCTGGGAACAAGTGGCAGGATGAGAGCAAATGGCCTCACATTGCACCAGGAGAGGTTCAGATTGGATTTTAGGGACAATTTTTCATGGAAAGGGTTATAAAGCATGGAAACAGGCTGCCCAGGGAAGTGGTGGAGTCACCATCCCCAGAAGTATTCAAAAAGCACTTGGGGAATGGCACCTGAGAGTATGGTTTAATGGTGAACGTGGTGGTGCTGGCTTGACTTGCTGATCTCAAAGGTTTCTCCCAGCTTTAACAATTCTATGATGACTGTTCACAAGTTTTCCCTGAAAAGCAAACAAAGTGCAATGTATATGGGATTGGCTGAGCTAATCCTGTTCGCAGTTCCTCCACTCTGCTGTACCACCTGGACTCATTCCCTTTGTTTCACTGGCCATCTGGCTCCTTTTCCTGGTTTGTGGTTCTGATGCTTACCCCTGCAACTGCTTGGGAGGGGAATGACTTGTATAAACCATTCATGTGACTGCATGTGATGGGTTTTCTGTGATCCAGAGGGAATGGCAGAGCACAAACAATTAATAATAATTTCTGATCAGATACAAACTCATTACGTGTTAAATGCTCTTCTAATGAGAAGTGAAGCTCACATCTCTGAAGGCAGAGCCTGTGTTTCAGGTTTAAGGATGTTATCCCAATAATTCCTCCTGCCACACACAGGCAGGCTGCACAAGTCACTTTCACAGGAGGTCAGAGAGTCAAACAGTGTGACTGGAATTTTAAAAAGGTTGGGCAACTTTTATGACCATTAATAATGTTTGTATTGAATGCCAGCTCAGATTGTAATGAGGTTAATTAAATATCCTGTCCCAATGTATAAACCAACTGCCTGAAGGTCCAGAGGCAGACTCCATGTGAAAACAGATCAGAACACTGGACAAATAAGGCAATTGAGGCACTGCTTGCTAGACAGAACCATGTGTTTGTCACGGCTGAAGGCTGAGTATCAAGGTAGATCTAACAAAGCCACAGTGCATCAGAACAATTCTAACATGATACATGCTTTTTCTGAGGTAGAGAGAAGCCAACTTCAAGAGTATCCACAGTGTCTGACAGAGTATTGTGTTTACTGTTCCCTCCCTGGCTAAGGCAGGAAAGCACTGCAGCTGAGGTCGGTAACACAACTGTAAGACACAAGCATATTGGGAAGGCAGGAGTAATTATTAACAAGTCAGCTACAGCAGATTTACACATGTGAGCCTGCTGAGCCTTCCCAGAACTCTGCACTGTGCATCTAGAGTCTTGTCACCTGCAGACACAGAACTTCCAAGGGGATTCCCAAGATCTGCAGGATTTCAGCCTGGTTCAGTCAATCATTTATGATGCAACCCAAGGAACAGGAAGGAGCAGGTGAACTCTCTGAGCTCAGGCAATTGGGAAGCTCCAGCGTGCTCAACAGTCCCAGCAAAGACAACGGCTGCAACATTTCAAGCTCCTGCCAAAAGCCTCTTCTGAAATCATCATGCACATCAGCAGATTTCTGCAACAAAATGCATGCCAGCCTGCAACAAACTGAATTTTACCCTTCTCCCAAATAGGAAGGAGCCCAGAATTTCTGAAGCAGCAAAGAGGCTTGGTTTATATGTCTTAAAATGAAGATATTCAGTAATACCTAAAGTTTAGTCAAAAGCTTGACTAAAACATAAAATAGCAAAGTAGTCTTCCTAGTTATACAGGTCAACCTGCTTGATGTTGAGGATTTACTACTTTTATTAGGTACTGATTGTGACTACATAATCTTTAAAATCTTTATAACTTTTAAAATCAATTAATATAGTCTCTGCTCATTTCTGTTGTTGTTCAATGGGTCTTAGTAAATGGCATCTTTTTCTCATATATAAATTTTATAATAACATATTGTTTCTTTCCAACTACCCCCAGTATTTTGTCAGAAAACAAAACTTGGATGATACCATCTAACAACACACCTTCCTTACCAGAGTGTAACACATCTTTCTGTCCTCACCATGTGTGCACAAAGGGAATGTAACCATTTCAGCTACACAGATGTAACTGTAGCAGCACAACTGGTTTTTATAGAGATTTAACAGCTTGCCTAGTGAAAAGAAGGTTGTGTGAAGATCTCATCGCAACCTTCCAGGATCTGAAGGGAGCTTATAGGGAAGCTGGAGAGGGACTCTTCATCAGGATTTGTAGTGACAGGACAAGAAGTAATAGGTACAAATTGACAGAGGGGAAGTTTAGGCTGGATATTAGGAAGAAATTCTTTACTGTTAGGGTGGTGAGAATGGGAACAGGTTGCCCAGGGAGGCTGTGGATTCCTTAACCCTGGCAGTGTTAAAGGCCAGGTTGGACAATTCCTTGAGCAACCTCATCTAGTGGGAAGTGTCCCAGCCCATGGCAGGGGGAGTTGGGACAAGATGGTCTTTAAGGTCTCTTTCAACACTTAACATTCCATGATTCTATGAACTTCTCTCATGCCACAAACCAGTGCAAGTTTTCATAAGTGACTGGTTATTACCAGTCTAACAGCTGTGGTTTATGCCCTTCTAGACACAAACTTTTCTCAGCCAGAAAAATAAAACATCTCCTCACAAGGTGTCTTGAAAAGAGACCAATGGATAAATAAAAGCCTATTGTCAAAGTGATAGGAGTGGTATCCATTTCTAAGAGAAACTCCCATTTTCTTTTACTCGAGGCAACTTCAAACCATTAATCTTCCCTACAATTCCATGGACTTTAACTCAGTGGGTTAGAGCATGGTGCTAATAGCACCAAGGTTTTGGGGTTGATCCCTGTATGGACCATTCACTTCAGATTTTGAGGGTCCCTCACAACTCAGGATACTCTGTGATTCTGTGACTTCTGTTGTGCTTGGTGGAGGATTCCACATCTGGAGATGTTTGCACAGACCCAACTGAGCCAGCACAGGATATTCACGGTTCTAAGCGTATCACAGGACTTGAAGCCCACAAAACCGGGAAAAAAAACCATCGTGGAACCCTCTGCTATTTCCTCCGGCCAGACATCCCACTGTCCATTGTGACAGTGGCAGTGGCAGTGACAGGGACAGTTCCATCGGAACTGCCGTGCCCGCAGCCCCGCCCCGGCCGCTCCGGACCCTTCGCCCCAAGGACAGCGGCTCTCGCCTTGTTCCCGGGAAGGAGCTCAGGAGCAGCCGCCTGCATCCCTGAGCATCCCCCGGAGGCTGTGCCCATCCCGTGGGGTGCAGGTGGGTGCCCGGGGTTGCTGCGGGGTGATCCCGGCTCAGGGGGATGCACAGGATGCTGTCTTGGTGCCTCCGCTGCCCCAGCCACGAGGGACGTGTGAGAGCTGTGCCCAGTGCCTTTCCTCCTTGACTTTAGGAAAAATTAATGCTGCTTTATAAGCCTGCATTTATTAGCCAACCATTCCGACAATTCTCTGCCCCTCCCATCAACAGTTTGGCTTTTAAGCCTTATTTCTCTACTTGATTAATGGCACACAAAAGGCAAATTGTCTGTAGAGGAATGACATTTTACTTACAAAAACCTGAGTCTTGCATTCGAAGTGGCTCTTAGGAAACACCCCCTGACTGTTTACTCAAGTTAGTTTTGAGATAGTTTCAAGCCTCATTTCTCTACTTGGTTTATGCCACACAAAAGGTAAATTGTCTGTAGAGGATGACATTTTAGTTACAAAACCGCAGTCTTGCATTCCAAGTAGTTCTTAGGAAATACCCCTGACTGTTTACTCTAGTTAGATTTGAGATAGTCCTTTTAAAGCCTTACCAAAAATGTGTCACTGCATGAAAAGGAGCAGATGCACAATTGCATTAAAAATACAGTTTAACTGCTCTTTTTTTTATTTTCATAGTACTGTCTTGGGCCTTTGATGGACCTATTTCAGGGACAAAAAGTTGCAGTTCACAGCCTAGGCAAAGCTTTATACTTTGCCTGATATGATCAAAAGCCACATGTTTTTCAAATTTTTGCCTCATTATGAGATAATACTGTCAACATTAAGTTTTAAAACTTACCTTACTATGCATTTTAAGAGTTTTCTAAGCTCTCATTAACAAAATTATTATTTCTCTAGTTTATTTCATTTTATAGAACAGCAGAAGTCCTGAATGAGTCAGAGTAAGGCGTTCCTATCTCCAGCCTCCCAATTCCAAGTGTTGCAGGCCCGTTTTTTTTTTTTTGACTCTGCACCCAGGCCTGAATACTTTTAACATATTATTTGAGAGGCAACAATAAGCACAAAAGTATGAAAGCTTAATAAATCCTCCCCTTCCATCCCACTGCCCAAGAAGCCTCAGCAAGAATGTAACTGAAAATTAAGGAAGGGAGAGTGGAGGGGGGGGAAGATACAAAATACACAGGAAAAAAAGAAATATATTTCCCAGGTGGAACTCCTGGCTTGGGGATGCCTCCACAACAGCAGGCCTTTAAGAATTAGCATTGCTACATAAACCAGTACTACCCAGCCTTTTCTGCACTTGGTTGTGTTCAACGAGGGTTTTGTAGTTCACTGTTTTTTTTGGCAAAGGTTCACATGCTCACAACCTTAAGTAAACATTAAATCCAGTTATGCAGTCCTGATCGTGAACTCTTGTATGCAGGAGCTCCGGGCACCGGGCATGAAAACAACCTGAGTGACATCCACAGCTTCAGTGCAGACCAGGCAACTGCTGACACAAGGCTCCGTGCTTGGAAGAAAGTTATTCCTTCACTTAGGAAGAGTTCAGATGCTTTGTACTTGACTTGCTTTTTTTTTTTTGCCAGCACAATGAAGGAAATGTCCTGCTTCTGCTTGACTTTTTCTTCCTTGTTGGAACAGATGGTGAAGGCTTGCAAATACGTGACTGGTATTTTTTCAGTGACTCATAGCTCAGAGCCACAGGTTTCAGAGGGTGATAAGAAGCTCACCAAGATGGATGTAAGCGTACTTGAGGAGCAGTATGACCATATAAAACAGAAGCAAAAACTGCAACCACACATTATTGTATATAAAACAGGTACGCTTATATTTGTAGGAATAAAAAGGCATATGTAATGTAAAGGTTATTTCTTTAAATCTTTAATAACACCTAGTTTGTTCTTTTTGTGTTCAGCTTCAATAGAGGTAGAAGGAAATTCCTTTTCTGTCATTTTGGGGTTTTATTCGTTTTGCTGAAATGTTGTTTTATATTTATATCAATAAGCTTCATGTCAGTGCAATATTATTACGTATTTGAAACAGATGAACATATCTAAGGTAAGGTTTTACAGGTTTTATATCATTGAAATAAAGTTCTAAACATAAATAGTAACTTTTACAGTAACCATGCTCTTCATGTCTATGATAAGTGTATTTGTGTAACGTATTCTGTAATATTTCTGCTCTCTTGAATGCTTCCATGAAAACTAGCAATTCTGGACCATCTTTCTCTTTTTCTCTTCTCTATCTGTGTAAAGAAAGACCATGGGAAGCAACAGCAAGTACCAAATAACTAGTACAAGTTGGGGTTTTGTTGAAAAATAACTTCAATTAAAAGTCATAGTGGGTAACGAAGATACAAGCCTCAAATAAAAAGTCCTGTTTCGAAAGTATTTTCAGTGCATATTGCTTGGAAAGTGCATACATAGAAAAACAAATAAGAATATGTAATATTCTTACAAAAATAAAATGTTATATTCTTATAAAATAAGAATATGTATCACTCATGTACCTGCCATGTCAAGCAGATTTTATATAAGAAACTTACAATTATTCTGAAGTTTTTAGTTAGACTACTGCTGACAATACCATTCTGATACATTAGCTTTCCAAGTTAAAGTGTTATTGAGAATACTGAGACAACTAATTAAGTTGTCTTCTGAATTTAATTTTAATATAAAACCCATCCTTCATTCATCTCTCATATTATAATTTCGCTCAACAAGTGTAGAACTTAGGTTATTTCATTCTTTACATTTTTCTCTGCATTTTTCAGCAGTTCTAGCATTTGTCTCTGTCAGACTTCATGATCAAAACAATCAGAAAAAAGCATGCAATTATGAACTATGCAACAGATTTGCTTATTCAATATTCTTTCATCCAAATGTTTTGAAATTTTCATATTAAAAGTATTAAAATTGTGAGGAATAAATATATATATATATACAAGCTTATTTTATCAGGTATCAGAAAGCAGCTAACTTGAGGACAAAACAGCCCATTTAATCAGTTTTAGCAAAAAAGTTAGTCCAAGAAAGGGAGCAGAAGCCTTTATTCAGATTGATTCAAATGAAGTTTCAGATATAATGAATGTAATCAGAGTAGATTTTTTGCAAGGTCATTTGAAGATTAAAATATGTAAGAAAGTAAAACTGCACAGTTTCTGGGGCTAAAAAATCCACATACAGATATTTTTATACACATGCACATTCCCCAAAACATTCACAAAACCACATAACCTGCTACACAGAACTTCTATCTTCAAACAAACTGTGTTGAAAGAATTCATGTCACTGTTAGCAGCAGTCAGAATTTGGACATTTTTTGTTATGCTGAGTTCTCAAGGTCCTAAAAGTTTATCTTCTGCATTCCTGTGGAAGGTGGGAAAACCTGTTACATGGCTCAGCACTTTGCACCTGTTGCATGCATCAGTTTTCAGGAATATATGGAGCAGAAATTAACATTGCCATATCAGGACTGCCCTACACTATCCCAGAATCCCAGGTAAAATTTAGAGAGTAAAATTATGGCTGTGCCGGGAAAGGGGTGACAACAACAGCACCACCACAAACCCCAGCCATGCACACAAACCTCAAAGGCCAGACACAAACCCTGATAGAAGGAGAGCACCTTCAGTCCCTCGTGATCCTAAAAGTCCCTGCCCAAGGTCTTTGTTCTTATCAGTAAAACCCTGCTTTGCTCCTGCCTGGCAGAGAAGCTGTCCTTCCATGTAACCACAGGGATTCTGAGCACTGTAGGTTTGTTGCACCACAATGGTAATTCCAAGTTTTCCACAGGATTTTTACCTTTGTATGTCACTTCCTGTCTGCAGGAGTCATGAAAATGTGGACCTTTAAACAGAACTTATGACTCTCTAACTTCTCTATTTTTTTGACAGAGGGGTTAGTAACCAAGAAATCACCTGAAGACAGCTTTGCTCTGTTTCTTTCCCAATACACACAGCTACATTCATGCTTCTGCCCACTCCTGATTATTTGAGAACAAAGACCATGACAAGATTTGAAAGGCACCAGATAGGGGCTAATACAGCAGTGTATTCATTATTTATTGGCTAAGAAGCTGAAAAACAGTATTTACTTTAGGAATTAAGTGGGAGTATTCAGCACATGCAGTCACAACAGAATAAATACCGGGGCTCTGACTGCAGAAATCTCTTCCAAGTATTTCCCAAGCTAACTTGAGATAAGATTAACTTTTGCCACTCCAGAACCTTAAAAATATCTATTAATGATGACAGCATATGGGCAGATGGTAAACAACTCTGCAACATGGCTATAATATACAATTTACATGGAGGGAAAAAAAAAGACAGTTAAACAGAGAGGTCTGTATAATTGCAGCTTTCTTGAGAAGTTTGGACAGTGCTGGAGGTGTGTTAATTCAGCACCCAGTGGTTCAGGACTATCGCATTTCTAACCAAGGTCATTGCTCAATTTTGTGTGCTGCACCTGTAGCCAAGCAAGGAATCAAATCAACCTTGAACTCAAAACCAGTGCACACTATTAAAATTGGACTAGATTTGTCACTCTGAACTTTCCGATCAGCTCAAGACAGATCATAATTATTCTGATGACCAGTTCATAAGGTTCTAGATGTTCTGATGTTGCCTATCAACGTCAGCACAGCAAAAAGCACAGATAACACCACCAGAACATGCAAAGTTGCTTCAGTCAGTCTCTCAGTTCTGTTCTCTCTTGGTTTTTCTCTCACATACAGAGAATAAGCCCTGATTTTCACAGCTTGGTGCTACACTGTGCTGCTCTGCAGAACACACAGGGCTCTGATTTGCACGTGGACCTTCTTGTAGCCAGCCAAGCTCAGCTTCATTTCTTGGATGAGGTCCACTCAAAACTTCGATTCTTACTGTTGCATGGTAGAGAACTGTGTTCTTATCTCTCTGAGTGGAGTCACCCTAAGAAATTCTGTTAACACACCTCGCTGTACAGACGGATGCACAAACACACCTGTATCTCAAAGCTCTGCACGTGCCTCAGGCTCCTTTCTCTCGGTAACGTGGCACAAGAACACATGTGGCCTGACATGGTTCTCCCTCCCAGCCACACTGCAAAACAACTCCTATCAGATCAACCCTTCATGGCCAAGGAGCAGAAAAAGTTCTGTGGTATTGTGCTGGGGTTGTTGTTTCAGCAGTGGGAGCCAAAGGCAGCAGTGAAAGCCCTTAGCAAAATCCGTGTTGTTCAGGTTCCTGTACTGCCAGTAAATCAGCTGGGTCTGACATCTCCTGACACTTATTTGTAAAGATGACACAAAAGGCAGCTTTGAAGCAGAGGTTGTGCTGTTGGGTTTTTGTGCAGGCAGCATTCTACTCAAACCAGCTTCATTTCAAATTCAGGGTTACAATCCTTTTAAGACAGTTGTTCAGAGACACTCAAAATATAATCAGCACTCTTCTATGTCTACTTTTCTCCCTTTAATGTGTTTCAGAGCTTATACTGCAACACTATAAGTCAACCCTGCAATAAGGCCAGCATTCTGCACAACTCCTACCTTAAACTTTATTTATACCAACTGAAGTATATTTCCTTAGTGTCAATGGATTATCTTTAGTGTAACAGATCAGTTTCTGTTCATTTTCAAGACACAGAAAACCAGTCATGTCCAGCAATTTGGTGACTGCTACATGCAAGTGAAGTAGCATTAGCATTTCTGACCCTAATATCTTAAACATTTTTAACAGTAACTTTCATAGCTATAGCTTTAGAAATTAACCTACAGGGGTAGAAGAATTTTTAAAAAGGAGACCAGAATCTCTCCAACTGTATACTCTATACCTTTCACAGAGGAAGCAGATTCCTCTAAGTTATCATTCAGATAACACTAGTGTAATAAGCTATTTACACAATTTATACTGACTGGAATAGTAAAATTGTAGTAAAATATTAAAATACAAGGCTATAATGTTAATGATCCCTCATTAAGAAAAAATAAGACATTCATAACTTATTTCATCTGGAAATAATCACAATATTATTAAGTTGTGATACAAACTTCAAACAGTATCAAACAGAACATTTTTGTCTTTCAAATTACAGCACTTGCCAACACACTGAGCAAGTCCCTACTCACCTTAAGAAGTTTTGCTTACAAGCAATTAATTACTGAAAGTCGATTCTCAATCTGTGCTGTTAATGAATCTTAGAGTACCAGTTAGATCAATATTGTCTTGATAAATTTCCATTTTCATTTGACTAAAACTAGGATACCATTTATGACCTCAGAACTGCAAAAGCAAGCATGAAGTAGTTTTACTCTGTACACTGCCATCAAAAGAACTTGCACTACCCTCAGCCACTGAAAGAAAGAGCATAGCTAAAATTCATGTTAAAGCTTTTCAGATGGGTTTAGGGTGTAGAAATCATACCCTTGATTTTTGACACCATAGCAACGTGTATAAATGCATTTCTCCTGCAGGTGGACATGAATCTGCTCTGCCAGAATCAATTATCAACCCTGTTCTAATTAATAAGAAAGTTAAAAGATCAAAGTCATATAGAGGAGACGCCCCTGTCAGAAAAGTCACACTGGAGACGATCAGCGGTGGCGACTCAGAAGACGACTTGCTGTGGCGCATCCACCTGGGAACTCACCGCCTGGGACAGGCCCCTGGACAAGGAGATTCCTGCAATCCTTCCCAGTGCAACAGCCCACCATGGAGTTTTGACAACCAGAGACTGATTTCCAAGGGGAATGGCACACCACAGACCAAGGAACATGAAGGAGCAGGTGAACTCTCTGAGCTCAGGCAACTGGGAAGCTCCAGCGTGCTCAACAGCCTCAGCAAAGACAACGGCTGCAACATTTCAAGCTCCTGCCAAAAGCCTCCTCTGAAATCAGCCACTGCAGCACTTTGGACACATCAGCAGATTTCTGCCACAAAATGCATGCCAGCCTGCAACAAACTGAACTTTTACCCTTTCCCAAATAGGAAAGGACCTAGAATTTCTGAAGCAGCAAGAAGGCTTGGGTTATATGTCTCACAATGAGGACATTCAGTAATACCTAAAACTTAGTCCAAAACTTGACTAAAACTTAAAATAGCAAAGCAGTCTTTCTAATTACACAGATCAACCTGCTTAGGTCTACTACTTTTATTAGCCACAGAAGATTCTGACTATATAATCTTTAATACCTTTATAATTCTTAACATATGATTTCATCATTCACTTTCAAGATATTCAAGATAATTTATGATGTATTTTTTTAATCAATTAATAAAACATCTGCTCATTTCTATTGTTGTAATGAGACTTAGTAAACATAATTCCTTTCTCATACATAAATTTTATCCTAATATATATTTGGTTCCCATCTATCCCCAGTGTTTCATTAGAAAACTAATGAGTTCTCCCCTTCTGCAAGATCTTTAGAGGAAGAAGACTCTCTCTTGCAGGAGCTTTTCAATGTCACAAACAGCATCTATTTATCACCCACTTCTGGCTGCAAGTGTTCAGACAGGTCTCTTTTTCAAAAGTAAGCTTCACAAAAATTGGAGGTGGGAAATGTCTCCCCATTTCATAATGGGTAGCCATGGGATATCATAGTAACTGTTTTTTTTCTTCACAGTAGTTCGGTATTTAAAGAATGATTAAGAAAAAAAAAAGATAAAGCATAGAAATACCTAATAGGTATAACAGGGAAAAATAGTAGATAACAATTAGTCCACATGAAACAAGAAATTACCTGGAAGGAAACACTTCAAAAACTTCATTATCCTTTGATTGCTTTAGGTATCTTAATTAAACACGGACCTTGAAAACCTTGGTTTTAAAGTCAGTGCAGGTTTATGCATGGACTAAGTAACTAACTCCTTTGTAAAGTCTTTCATACAAACACTTTGTCCTGTCCTCAGGCTTCTCTAGAATATTACTGTGCCTTGTACTGACTGGAACTAATTTAGAAAAGGCGTTTTTCCTTTGGAGAATCTTTCAGTTTAATTTCCAAGGACATTATGAAAGAGCATTCTCATTAGTTCATAAGTTTTCATTTGTTAGTGGAGTAGTTTCAGTTATGAGAAAAGTTGCTATACTAACATTTCAAGAGACTGGAATATTGCACACACACAATTGTCTAATGAGAAAATGATGGGTTTTTTTCCTAAAGTAGCTGTAGTGAGAATGAAACAGAAAAATAAGAAAAAAGCCTAAAACTTCAAATACTAGAGAGTCCCACTTCTGAAGGGCACCTGATCTGCAAAACCTTTCCTGTTAACTTCTTCATGTTTGGCCATCATGTGCAGGAGCTTTCATCACTATTACTACAGATGTAGCCAAGTTTCAAGTACTGAAACTTGCCATAAAGCAAGTTTACTCAGAGTTTACCAGTAGGCAACTGACTGATTTATGCACATGGAGGAACGTGGAATCCTGAAATTCTAGTTCAGTGTCTTGTTCACAAGCACATGTTCCCTCTGAGGTTCCCATTTCCAAAGCTGGAACGGGATGCTCATGGTAGTTTGTCTGACTTCCTAAGGAAAAGGTTAGGTCATTCCTGCATTCTAGAATAAATCACTGCTGAGCAATTATTTCAGTCACACATAAATAAAATAGAGTAAAATAGAATGAAATCCCTTTGCTGCTGGGACAGCATGCTGCAGGTCAAATGAAAGAATTAGCCCACATGAGTTACTTGTAACTGGTGTTACCCATTAAAAGAAAAGTTTATGTCTTTTACAGGCACCAAAAACATTCCAGGAACAAGCCCCAGCCCCCTGAGGACCTAAAATACAAAACACAGTATTGAGCAGCCCACGTTGTACAGCCAAATCCCTGAAGCCTCACACCCTGCTCCCATTTCAGGACATTTTGGGTACTAGAAGTGACACTGCCTCAACCTGAGGTGGTGTTTAGCACCAGGTTTTCCACACCCCTCATGTATTTCTCCAGCCCAGTCTCTGAACCCAGGTTAATTTTTGACAGTCCCACAACCAGGCAAGACCGTGCTCAGTCCCACTGATGGGGAAATACAAACTCCCACACTAAATTTCACCAGCAACACTGCTAGCCTCAAAAAATATAGAAAAAAACCCCAACCTGCACACTTCTGCCTCATACACACAGGGGTGGCAGATGAAGGGTGGCTGCAGAACACTCAGCCCTAGCCCAGCCCCAGCCTCTCCTGGAGGGACAGTCCCTCAGGCAGCCTTGGGGACCCCCACCACGTCCCAGGGATGTGGAGCAGAAGCTCCTGCCTTTATCACAGAACTGAATTCATTAACCAGGGTGCAACAAGACAACAATTACATGACTGAGAGAGACATTATTTATTTCAGAGTTGTACAAGCGTGGGTGTTGGTGGTCTTCACAAATCAAGCGCACCCTCTATCAAAACTTCTTGCTATTTATACATTTTAGCAAACAAAGCCATTATTGTTCATCTGCTACAAGTTAGATAGTTCTTTTCTTAATTAGTATTCTATCTTCTACTGGTTAATTATTCTCTTGCTTCTTATGCTAATAAGCACTTTCTCATCTTTTAGGTCTGTGGATTCCTTGGGTAAGTAGTTGTGATGTGTCCCTGTCAGAATTACCTTTTACCCAGTTGGAGCTGATTTCAGCAGTTACTGAGTCGGTTTTATTTCTTTCTTCCTTATCTTGGGAGCTCTGCCAAATGTCCTTGTGGCCTGTAAATTCTGCATTCTTTGTGTCCACTATCAGTAGTAACTCTTTCTTCCCAAGTTTTGTTAACCTTCCCCAAGGTCCGAGATCATTGAAACATGTCAAGCCCTAAACCTTAACGTGGCAATTCTACCAGCAATTAATTTAATTTTCTAACATCTGGACATCACTTAGAACTTGTAAGTTGCTGTTTCATGGGTTGTATCTCACAGAACCACAGAATGGGTCTGGTTGGAAGGGTCACAGCAGTCATCTGGTCCCATCTCCCTGCTCCAGCAGAGCCAGCCTACAGCAAATGGCACAGGATTGTGTCCAGATGGTTCTGGAATATCTCCAGTGAAGGAAACTTCTCAGAATCTCTGGGCAATCTGTTGCAGTGGTTGGTCACTGCTCAGGGAAGAAGTTTTTCCTCATATTCAGATGGAATTTCCTGTGTATCAGTTTCTGCCTGTTGGCTTTTGTCCTGTTGCTGGGCACCACCAAGAAGAGCCTGGTCCATGCTCTGGGCACCCCTCTTTAGGCACTTACACACATTGACGAGGTAAATAAACCTCCTCAGGGACAGGACAAGAGGACAGGGCCTTAAGCAGTGCCAGGGGAGCTTTTGGTTGGGTATTTGGAGAAATGTTTCTATGGAAAGGAAGATGAGCAGTGGAACGGGCAGCTCAGGGAGGCTGTGGAGTCACCGTCCATGGGAGATGTTTAAGGAAAGCCGGGACATGCCTGATTGACATGGCAGTGTTCCGGCATACGCCACACTCGATGGCCTCAGAGCTCTTTTCCAGCCTAACTGCCGCCGTGATTCTGCCATTCCTTTATTTTTCACTAGGCTCGGAAGCACGCAGACACCAGGGCGCACAGCACAGCCGGGCTGAGGGGAGCTCCGAGACACCGCTCGTCGGGCAGCGAGGGCAGGGCGCGGCCATGGCGGGCGGGGCGCGGCTTCGCGCACGTCACTCCCGTCTCCCCGGGCCTTCCGGGCTGCCGTAGGAGCCGCTCCTGCTCCTCTCCCTCAGGGACCGCGGCCCTCGCCTCCCTCCCTCCCTCCCTCGAAGCACCTCAGGCAGCAGCCGCGTCGGCCCCCGAGCTTCCCCCGGCGGCGGCTGTGCCGAGCCCGCGGGGCGCAGGTGGGTGCCCGGGGCCGGGGCTGTGCTGGCAGCGCCGCGGTGCCAGCGGGGGCCGGCGGTGCCCTGGCTCGGGAGGTGCTGGATGTGCTGCCGGGGAGGGATGAGGATGCCCGGACACCCCGGGATGGGGTGCAGGGATGGGGCTGCCGTCCCTGTGGGTTTGCTCACGGCGCTGCCTCGGTGCTTCCCCTCCGCCAGCTGCGCAGAAATGTGTCAGAGCTATGCTTGCCTCCTTTTTAGGGAAAATTGATGTGTCCTGCTTTTTTATCAAACCATTCTGGCAATCCCCTGTTCCTTCCGTCAGCAATTTGCCTTTTGAACCTGCTGCATCTTAAGTCACGCATCTAACTTCTCTGCTTGTTTTATTTCACGTATAAGGCAAACTGGCCTTAGAGGGTGACATTTTATTTACAAAAGCTGAGTCTTGCATTCAGAGTGTTTCTGAGGAAATACCTCCGTTGTTTACTCAAATGAGTTTTGAGAAAGTCCCTTTATACTCATATCGAAAGTGAAATTGTATCAGGAGCACTTGTGGCGTTTCATGGCTGATGGAAGAGTAAGTCACAAATGTTTTTGCTATGGATTCTAAGGCCATTTAGTGATGGTGTGATAGAATTTATTATAAATGTTAGAAATGTTACATATAAAATCATAAGGTTTGTGTTTGTGAAAGCAGAAGTTTATTTTTTTAAATAGAGGTTTTGTAATAATGAGTTTGATTGGAGACTACAGTGGTGTTTTCTGTTTTGATAGCTTAATTAGAAATCACAAACTTACTAAGCTATAGTATTGATAAACAGATGAATGACCAATTTATAAATGTCACCTGTACTTCCAGTTCTTAGTCTTAAGAATAGATTGGAATTTTAAATTTTATCTGAGTCACCCAAAACCATGAGTAACTTTTTTTGTAAATGTTAAGTAGAATTAAGGCTATAAATGGGTCTTCAGCATAACTTAAAAGTGGGAAAATGATGGTTACAGACTATTCATAAGAATTCCCTGGTGTGTTTTGGTAAAGGGGGAAAGTGCAGTGTTTTGAAAAGTAAGTGATTTTGTCACTTTTAGCTTTGTAAATGCCATTGTTTGCCTTGGCTCTAAATAATAGCAGCCACATCTCAGCAGGAAAAAGAATGTGTGTTTGTCTCTGCTAGTTTTGACAGACACTGTGCAAATTGCAGCCATCCAACTGGAAGGGTTATTAAACCATCCACTTACCCAGTTCATCCCTCTGACTCGTGTTTAGAGGAGATTGTTGTCAGTGCAGCTTCCAGGGAATTCTTTGTAGCTCAGTAAAGCTGGCCTTGAGGTAAGGCTGACCAGTAAACTTACCACATATTGGATATTTGCCTACTTTCTTTTCCCCCTCATAAAGTGTTTTTCTGAGCCAGGAGCAGTTTTTGAAACTGGAGGAACTTTTCCCTTTTTCTCCTGAGAACTGTGTGCCAATAAACAAGGATGAAAGATGGAAACCACTCTGAAAGGAAAGTGAAACTGATTA